CCACGTTGGAGAGGTTTAATGTTATACTATGATTTCGTCATATTCTAAATGTGATACATAAAATCGAAAATAACGAAAATAAGAGATGGAAAACGATTCCGGTGCTTACCGGTGTAATCCGTGGCAAGTACAATAAACGCTAATTATTTCTATAATTGTCTATTCAACCACAAAATGAAGATACACGAGTGCTGCTTCTAGTCATCCGTTCGCGCACACGCAGCCTGCGCAGGCAGCTATATACATATCCTACTATCGATAACCGACGAAATCTAAATTTGACCCCACCTAAAAAAAAAAAAAAAAAAAACACGTAACGATGATTAGGTGTGAACGTATTTTCGGGGTCATAAAATTCTCATCGACACGATCCGCGGCAAAGGAAAGTTTCGTCAGAAAAAACGCTTCCAAGCATTTTAAAAGAGTTACGCGAGCCCGGTATAAAATTTCCTACGAAATAAACGTCATCCCGTCCTGAGTGCACATCCCCGCAGTATTCGCCGCTCTTATTTCCGTCGCCGTTTCCGCGTTTCTCCCGCGCTTCAAGAGCGGACGATTAAAGAGAGAAGATTCTCCGCGCGATGGAGGAATTACTCCCGCACACGGGAGGGAAATGCGACGGGAAATACTCCCGCTCGCAATATTGCGCGTAATGCTTGTGTGTATGTGTGTGTCTGTAAAAAACTTGGTTAGTTTAAAAACAAAAGCACCCCCTCCGCCCCTCCCTCCCTCCTTCATCCCGGGAGAAAATCGCGCGGCCACTCTGGCGAAATAATATTGTTGTTGCTTTTAGGAAGCGCGTCCCCGCGCGACGATGATTAATGGCCGACCCGCGACAATGGGTAGACGTCAGCAGATACGCGTGAAACCACGGTGTTACACGGTGAATGTCGGCACGTGTGCGCCATTGTTAGGGAAATAGACTTGAATGGTGTGTTAAACAAATTTCACACTCGCGAACGAAATATCCGACGTGGATGAAAAGTTGCGTCGTGCAAGATTCTATACCGACGACAAATGTGATTTATCCCGCGGCGATAAGCCCGTACAACGTAATACGGAGAATCCCGGTATTATCATGTATAGGAGATTTTGAGCATGTATGAAAAAAGCTTTTACGAGAAATTCGCGTAAATTTTAAATATTCAGCGTATCATGTATTATTAGAGAAAAATATTTAATGACAGATTCGTAGAATATTTATGAAAGGATGTTGTCAATGAGTTATTTTTAGAGAAATAATTACAATGTGTATCGACTTATGAGATACCTACTAATATTTTTTTACAAATATAATATTATGTTGTCGATAAATTAATTTTAAAAAAAGTATTGTCAATTAGAGGTTTATAATTTTCTAGTCTGTAGAAAAAACGACTGTGTTTGAAAACTTATGCAAATTATAGAGCGTTTATATGACAAAGAGACGAGTAATTAAAAATTCGCGTCCTCCTCACGTCGGATCCTGAATTCTACTTTATGCTAGAAGACTTATGCGTACATAAAAAGTATGACGAGAGCAAATTCGTGTCGCTTTTGTAGTTACATTTGTAGCCAATGATGCAATATTTACTAGCACTAAAGTTTTTGCAAACTACAGTATGTTAAGTCGCGCAACAGAATTCATTTTTATGCGATATATTTATGGGATAAGTAACGCCAGACAATTAAACAAATTCCGTAGCCTCCAATTTTCATCACGGGAGAGATAATTTTTTTTTTCTTAACAGTGCTTTACGATTATCATGTAAATTTTTACTCGCGTGATTAAATTAGTGAAAAATCTCTATAAATTTTAACGTTTCGCGTAAAACGAGAGACACGTTTTAATGAACGATACACTATGGTAGGCGCCTTAAATTTCCGCAAGAGAAAGAAACGGGCGATCTTCTCAAAGAGATCCCGAAAACGGTCTCTCGCGTGCACAGAGAAAAATATCGCCGAAGTACGAACCAACACCGGGTATACGGGGCTAGAGCGGGAGAACGCAAAATAAGACATAATTGCGCCATAGTGGGGAAACGAAGAGTAAGAATAAAAAAAGATGAGGAA